GCACAAGACAAAAATAATTTTTGTTTGTAACCTTTTTTGAAGGATTATTTTGAGAGGTAATGTTTGTGTAAATTTTAAGCTTTTTTTATTTAATTTTTTAAAAGAACAGGTTCAAAAACCATTTCAAACTCATTACTGCACTATTATATCTCTAAAATGCATTAATCATTAGGAAAATGTGAGATTTACAGAGTTAAGTCACACCTTTTTAGGTTAGTATCTATGTCCACCGCAAGAGTAAAATTGGCATCGTACACAAGGCCTCTTGGGAGTTGTAGTTCCTTCTGCATACAGTACTTCCATGTAAGAGTTTCAAAGTTTTTCACCTTTGCTTATAGAACACATTTAAAAGTTGGATTTTCTCTCTAGTTAACGTCTCAATGTCTTTGATCGGACGAGTCTGGTGTCCATGGGACTATTTTCAGGGTTTAAATGTGATTTTTGTTTACTTTTCGTGAGTTACCTGTTTTCAGCTAGGGGTCTTTTCAGACRGTAGCTGTCCTTAGTTCGTGACGCCAAATTGTTGTGGAAATCTTTATTTACCCAAGACAGAAACATGTGGTCCAAGAATAAAAAGTACTCCGTTGAACGATCAGCTGAGTTTTATTGCATATATGAAAGGCACAAACACACAACACAGGGATGTTAGATGTGCACTGAGGCTGTCTTATTACTTCTAATTTATACAGAATGCTATCCAAACAGACAAGAAACATCTCTCTTGGTRCCAAAGCTGGGTCAAGGAAAACAAGTATCCAGCAAGAATGATTACTTCTAACAGACTTTGTCCTGATCTTAAAACACTTTGTCTGAGAGAAAACACAAGATAAAMTGTTACATCATAAACCCTGCTGACATTTAGATCAGCAAAACAGGTCCCTGACTCTTGGCCTGAAAAGAATCAGAGAGAACGATACAGTATGTAGTACACAAGTTATTTTTCTATCACAGGTGTGTAGCAGAGTGTGTAGTAGATTTGTATTAGTTGTGTAGCAGATTGTGTATAAAGTGTGTAGTAGGTGTGTAGCAGAGTGTGTAGTTGTGCAGTAGGTATGTATTAGTTGTGTAGTAGGTGTGTAGCAGAGTG